TCTTAACACCACGACAAGTCACACAGCCGTGTCTAATTCAGAGGGACAGAGAAGGAGAGTAAGGCTATTGGTAAGGAATGCGAATTGCTACCAAACTCTTCTTCCTCAATAGTGATTTTCTTGGATACCGTTTTAGTAGTTTATTATTGGCTAAAGATTCAAGATTATATCAATGTATCCCAGCCTGCCTCTGGGACTTGTCAGTGCATACAGGTCAAGTATAATATCGCTGGTTTTTAATCTTTGCTAAATATATGGCACACTTGCCAATTAAAGTAGGTGACACACACACAAAAAAAACAAAACAAAAAAAAAATAAAGTAGGTGACACAATTCAAGATGGCCTGTAGAGGGCGTGCCTCCTTCTAGAACTAGGGCCCTTTGATCGGTGTCACACGGTTTCTGTGGACTGCAGTAATCCCCTTGTCATTAGATGTATATTTATAAAGGTTAATTTTGTCATTTGAAAGACTAATTTGACTACAGAGTAATTTAGGCAGAGCCTTATGATTTTCGCTGGAGTTTACAATATGACCTTTTCATTTGCTTCTTTTATTCCTTTGGTAAACATATATTAAAAGGTTTTTATTAACTTTTTTTTTTCAGGATTTAGTTTCCTTGGGTTCTAATTAGTTCTCAAACAGGCCTTCTTCAGTAACATGATAAATGTCTATAATGTAGATTACAGACAGGCTACTGTGTTTTCAACCAGTTCAAAGAGCATGTTAGATTTTATTTATCAAAGTGAATAATTGTGATCATTTAGAGTATTCGATCCTTTCCAACGCCCTTTTTATTTATCTGTGAGGATCCTAACACTGGTTGAAGGAGAGAGGGAGGGCATGTGAAATTGTTGCCATTTTACAAAGGACAGAATTGGACGACAGACAAGGGACAGTGCCACCTGCTTCTCAGTTTGACCAAATAGGTCATGATCGCACTAAGAAAGAAAAAGAGTTATCCTCTGACTTTGGGCCAAAGTGGAGTAGGTTCATACAGTTGAACCTTCCACCTCCCTTTCTCTTCTTTGAGAACTGTCTATCATACTTCCTTCCCTATGTGTGATCTGAATGGATTTAGCTCAGGTTAGTTTGAGATGTTTGTGGAAACCTGGCACATTCAAAAGGAATGAAGAACTATCATATATAATCTACACATTTTCCTAGTGAGAGAAGCCCTTTTTTTTCCCCTGGGAAAAAATAATATAGTTATGCAAATACAAAGACAGTATGGTGACTCCTCAGTGGCTCAACCTAAAGTAACTATGGAACATGTAGCCATTATTTTATCATCAAATTTGCCGTTATCCTGGTCATCTCAGTATTCTTGAAGAAAAACCGAAGCCAACTTGCCAGGCTCCCAGATCTGTCACTATCTGGATTACAAGCGCTTGTCTCTCTCACTGAAGCCACCCCTTGCATGATCACTCCGGACTGTGTTATCAAGCATCCAACTGCAGAGCCTGGGCAGTCTAAACTCAGACATGTTTCTGAGCCCAACTTGGTAACTTAAGACCTTTCTCACTCTTGATTTGTTTCTGATTCTCAAGACAGGACAGTTGACCCTTTTACTTTGTTCCTATTGCCTCCCTTCATCCTCACTTCCTTTCCCATGTGACAAAGCATGTTCCTTAGCATTTGAGGTTATTCCTGTCTGTCCAAGGACAATCAACTGTCCTGGTTTGCTCAGGACCAAGGGATTTCCTCAGAGCTAAGATGGGAACAGTCATTTTTTAGAAGTCATTTATTTATTTTTGGCTGTGCTGGGTCTTCGTTGCAGCGAGTGGGGGCTACTTTCTCTTGTCCAGGTGGCATCTCTTGTCACGGAGCACGGGCTCCATGGGGTGCAGGCCTCAGTAGTTGTGGCACATGGGCCTCATTGCCTTTTGGCATGTGGGATCTTCCCAGACCAGGAATTGAATCCATGTCCCCCACGTTGCAGGTGGATTCTTATCCACTGGACCACGAGGAAGTCCATAAAATGGGGCGAGTCTTGCACAGACCAGGACATTGGTCACCCTAGTCCACTGTTTTCTTATGTGGAGATACTATATGATGGGGCTGCACACATCTCTTCCCACCCCTGTGTTCAGTGACACTGCACTGGTAGCTCAAAATCAACCATGGAGGAGTATTTATACCATGGAAATCCACAAATGCTTCAAACTAGGGCTTGACATGTTGATTTTCTAGATTTAAAGTGATACAGAAAATATTAATGTAGGTTAAACTTAAAGGTATGCTCTTTGTGTAGCCCTTATGTTGTGAGTAGAACCAAAAGTTGGGTAAAGATTCTACAGCATTCAAAAACTATTATCTGATTCAGCAAAGAAGTCACTCACGTATTTGACAGACACATGAAGTTCCAAAGTGTGTCTGAGTGGTGACACTCTAGCCCCTGTCCTTCACATCAGACATGACCATTTACATCAGAGGTAACATTCTTCCAGGAGAGCAGGCAGAGGTTGACTATTGCTCTAAGAGTTGGGCAAAAACCCAAGAATGCATTTTGTGAGAATAAGATAGTAAGGGGGCGGGCGAGTGGGGGAAGAACTTCCTCGGCAGTCCAGTGGTTAAGACTCTACTCTTTCACTGTCAGGGCAGCTAAGATCCCACATGCTGTGCGGTGCAGTTAAAAAAAAAAGATACTATATGAAATTTACAATAAAAGGATGGTATATTTTATTATTTGTAAAATGTGTGCTGCACATTCTTCATATCAGTAAAGTTTATAAGCTTACATACATGTGTGGGTTTGTGTGTATGTATATATTTACATGCATGCATACCTCTTTCTCTTTGGAAAGACAGTTCTTAATTGAGCAGGGAGGGAAGTAGTTTTGTCCCAAAATTAGCCAGGGATTCTGCTAAATATCCTGCATGCAGAGGACAGACCCCGCAGCAAAGATTTAACCAGCTTAAAATGTCAGTAGTGCCAAGTTTAAGAAACTCTGCTCTAGGGCATATATAAGAAATATAAATTAGTTCAGGTATACCTAACTTTTACCCATTAACAATCCAAAATCTTGTTTTCTTGATTAGATTTTTATATTGGAGTTTAACTGATTTATAATATATTGATTTCTGCTGGAGAGCAAAGTGGCTCACTTATATATATATATACATTCTTGTTTTAATGTTCTTTTCCATCATGGTGTCTCATAGGATATTGAATATAGTTCTCTGGGCTGTACAGTAGGACCCTGTTTATCCGTTCTGTGTATAAAAGCTTATGTCTGCTAACCTCAGCCTCCCGCTCTGTCCCTTCCTCTGTCCCCCCTCTCCTGGCAACCGCCAGACTATTCCGTCTGTGTTTCTGTTTCATAGATAGGCTCATCTGTATCATATTTTAGATTCCACATGTAAGTGATATCATATGGTATCTGTCTCTTTTTCTTTCTGACTTCACTGAGTATAATAATCTCTAGGTCCATCCATGTTGCTACAGTGGGCATTATTTTGTTCTTTTTCAGGGTTCTTTTTTATTGCCTTGTATATATATGCCACATCTTCTTTACCCATTCATCTGTCAGTGGGGGTTTCCATGTCTTGGCTATTCCAGATAGCGCTGCTATGAACGTAGGGGTGCATGTATCTTCCAGTTATAGTTTTGTCTGGGTATAAGGCCGGGAGTGGGATTGCTGGATCATATGGCAGCTCTCTTTTCAGCTTTTTGAGGAACACCCACACTGTTCTCCATAGTGGCCACACCAATTTACATTCCTGCCAACGGCGCAGGAAGCTTCACTTTTCTTCACACTCTCTCCAGCGTTTGTTATTTGTAGACTTTTTAATAATGGGCATTCTGACTGGTGGGCGGTGGGACTTCACTGTGGTGTTGATTTGCATTTATCTAATAACTAGTGATGGTGAGCATCTTTTCATGTGCTGCTGGCCATCTGTATGTCTTGTTTAAAGACGTGTCTGTTTAGGTCCTCTGCCCATTTTTTGATTTGGTTGATTTGTTGTTGAGTTGTGTGAGCTGTTGATATATTTTGGATATTAAGCCCCTGTCAGTCACATTGTTTGCAAATATTTTCTCCCATTCTGGCTTTTTGTTTCATTTTTCTGCTTTGTCTTTTTGGTTGTTTTTGTCTTGTTTTATTATTCAGTGTATTTCATAATTGCAGAATAACTTACACACAGTGAAATGTTCCTATCTTAAATGTACGCCTCGTTAAGGTGGATCCTCTCAGATGCCCAGTCCTCCAGGTCTGTTGATCCTGTGGCCTTAACAGCTCCCCGCGTGTCCATTTCTCTCCACTGTTGCTTCCTCTGTTCGGACCTTCAGGACCTGTCTCCTGGCTCACTACAGCAGCCTTGGAATGAGACCCAGTCCCCCAGCTCATCGCCTGCACTGCAGCCAGAGGGGTCTGTCCCGAGTGCAGACCGCATCCTGTCAGTATCCAGTGACAACCCTTCAGGCTTTCAAGGATGAAGTCTCAGCCCCACACATTCCTTTCAAGGCCTTCGTACTTCAGGGTCATCTCCTCCCTCTGCCCACAAGCTCGGCTCCCACCCCTAGGTTTCTCCTCCTACCCTATCTGCTTAGAGGCCTTTGCCCATGCTGCTTATTCTACATAAATACCCTCCCCCCATCATCCTGCCCCACCCCTCCCCCAGCAGACACCCCTCAGGACTCAGCCCCATGACTGTAAGTTCTAGGACGTGTTCTCTGCCACCCCACTCCTTCCCCTTGAGTTGGGTCAGTGTCCCAGCCCCTCCGCGCTTTGCTCTGACCCTCGGTTCTTGACTCCTAGTGTGGCTCTCATCACACAGTGTCGCCCAGTACCCACCTCGCCCCAACCCTAAACTGAGCTTTGAGGGTAGGGACTGTTTCTCACGCATCCTGACATCCCCAGAGAAATGGAATGATGGTGCTGGCGGAGGTAGAGCGCTCACTGAATTTGCTGCTGGACCTGCTGGGAGGCGGGATCAGAGAGCCGAGCCGAGCAGCGTGGGGAACTGCTGTCTCCTTACCCGTTTGTCTTGTCCTCGCAGCCTGATGAAAATTCACTGGATTTTTCCTCTTGTATGCTCCGGCCTGGGATTAAAAACGCTCAGGAGCTGGCTTGCGGGGTGTGCCTCTTGAACGTGGACTCCAGGAGCCGGGTAAGTCACCGCCTCCCCCCACACCACTTCCAAGGCAGAGCACGTCCCCAACAGGACCCGGGGCACAACCCCACCTGGCCCAGAGGCGGGGAGCCGATGAGGTCCCGAGGTGGGACCACAGAAGCAGAGACTTCCTCCCAGGGGCGGTGCGGGGAGCTGTTGCAGGAGTGGATCAGGTCTTGCCTCTCTGTGGAGCGGGCTCGTTTGCCTTCTGCCTGCAGCCCCCTCTGCATGCAAGGTGGCACGGGGGAAAGGGTCGAACTGTAAGGACTTGTCTGCAGGCCAGAGGCCCTGTGCTGGGAATGTTGTTGACCTTATGGTTTCAACATTATTTCAGAAAGAAGAGAAGCCTGCAGAAGATCATCCTAAAAAAGTATGAACCACTTACTCGTTACCTTAGTGTCTCCCATCTTAATTTTGAATGTGGAGGGCAAATTCAATGATTCCACTGTCATCCTGAACTGTTCCAATCACGGATGCTTTGCTGAGTCCTTTCCATTCCCACAGTGTCTGATTCAGTCAACTAACGTGTCCACGCGGGTCACTTCCGTCTTGTGTGCATGCTTTGTGGCTCAGTATCGGCTTCTGGTGCGGCGGTTATTTTCCTCTGGGAGGAACACGGTAACAGAAAGGGTAGCTTCTGGAAGACCAGGTCATCGTGACACAGGAGGAGGTCAGAGAGCTTCAGCACTTGGCTGTTAGCGGACAGAAACAGATTTGGGGAGCTAGGGAGGTTAGAGTTTTGTTTATTTGTAGACGTTTAGAAAACACCCCAGGAAGTGGTTGAGGTTAGGCCTGGCTGGCTGTAATTTACCTGCAAGCATTTTTGATTTGGAAAGCATTCTTCGGTGTTTGGTATCTTTTTTACAAGACCTGTACCTATTTGGACATTTTAATGATGTCAGTTCGGCTCTCAGCTCCCAGTGGCATTAGACCCATTTTAATCTGAGTTTTCTCTATGATAGGGCCATATGAGCCTCCAAGACCTCAGGGATGGCATGTAACAGTCAAATGCCAGCCTCAGGGAAGGGCTTCCTTCTTCACAAAGAGATCAAAGTGATCGGCGCTTGGCTATTTTCGTTCCCATGTCATGACCCCTGCCAACCCCCCACAGCCTCTGTGTGCCTTTTCTAGGAAGGATTTGGCCTCCTTTTGCTGAAACTGGGTTTAACAGTAAAGATTTTTTTTTATGCCTTTAATTAGCGGCACAAAACTTCTCTCACTTGAATTCCTGTAGCCACCTGCCCAGCTTTTGCGTGTGCGCCAGTCTGGCCTCAGCCTCTGTGTCCTGGAGCGGGGTCCCTGCCGGCTGCCGGTCAGCCCAGGCGTGGAGGGAGCCTCACCACTCGCCCCTCGTATCTGTTTCTTCCTGGCAGGCGTTCAACTCGGAAACCGACAGCTTCAAGCTGGCCTACGGGGGACACCAGTATCACGCCAGCTGTGCCAACTTCTGGATCAACTGTGTGGAGCCGAAACCTCCCGGCCTGATCCTGCCGGATTTGCTCTGAGAGCGCCTGACTGCTCCTCTGTGACGGACCCAGCTGGGTTGGTTTTTTCCACCACACCCCCTGGGGTGACCGGGACCAATAAACGGAGTGTGAGTGCTGTGGATCCCCCCACCCACCCATCAGGAGGAAAGCCTCAAGAGGTGGGGGGAGGGGCTGTGCAGCGTCTCAGTCTTTCCCACAGACGACCTTTGCCCCCAAGTTCCCAGGGCCAGTCTTTGGAATTTCAGGTCAAACCACCCTACCCAAACTGCACGTGGCACCAGAAGTTTGCTAATTTATCTCTAGTTCTCTTAAGATGTTTTAAAATATGGACCACAATTGCCTTTATCTGAGGAATAATTAGCTGCTGCAGCATTGAAACTGTGAAGAATTAACATTTGAAGAAAAATAAATTCTTGCTCTAGGACTGGAGTCAGAAGGATTTTGAGCCAGTGTTTGTGTATCTGGAATACTTTCTGTTCTGTGAAGTAGAATGCATTTAGCCACATTTAGTGTGTTAATATCTAAGATGAATATAAAGGGAGAAATTGTGATTAAACAGATGTTCCTTTTATAGAAAAATTTCTGCTTCTCTCCACTGGACAACGGCAGGTGGGTGAGGGTAGATTTACCAACTTTAGTGTCGCGACAGAACCAGTTCTCCACTCTGTTGGTGCATTTATAAGACTGTCAGCTTTCAAGAAAACTTTCAAAGCACACCTGGGGACTTTGCAGTGGAGAACGTTCATTTCGACCAAGACCTGAATCTTGGTCTATCTGGATGAATATTGTTGCCCTTGGGGGGTCTTCACTGAAAGCCTTGTGTACCTCACACACAGACTGTGAACATAGTATTTTTTTTCAAACAAGGTTTGGAAAGGCAGCTGAATGAAATCTCTTTGCAAAGGCCTCTGTCCAGATTTCCAAAAACGTCTGCACAGGGACCAGTCCGTTTCTCTGAGAGAGACCTAGAAATTGGACTGAGAGAGACCAGGGTTGAACGGTGGAGCTCATGGCCCAGCAAGAAGAAGAAGAAGGTGTGTATTTGTGGTGGAGTCACGTGACTTAGAAGCAATGGCAGGAAATTGTTCAGAACCAGCACTGAATTTTAGGAGGAAAAGGCTCATGCTGTCTGTTGTGTGGTGTTTTTTGTTTTTTTTGGTTTTTTTTGCCTCACTGTGTAGCTTGTGGGATCGCAGCTTCCCTACCAGGGATTGAACCTGCGTCTTCAGCAGTGAAAGCATGGAGTCCACACCACTGGGTCACCAGGAACTCCGTCATGCTCTCTGGTATAGGGAATTTTCTTTGCCGCTTAAACCGAATGCATAAAATCAGGGGGAAAAAAGTCAAGTAGTAAGGACTGTGTTGTTCCTGGGAAGAACACGTCAATCTAGGACACACATTTCGGTTGTGAATTATGTGCTTATGAAGCAATTTTGAACTTTGTGTGGTTCACTTTGTGTGGCTTAAGCTCTCTGACATAGTTTTTGTTTGTAAACTGGAAAAGTTGGTTTTGTCTGTATAATTGCTGCTTCACATAATTAATTAGATCATTTTTCTCTCCTCAGGACAAAACTTGGGGCAATTCGATTTTGCTCCATCTTACATCTTTTACTTCCACCCTCCCCAAAAAAGGTAGAGAACATTTTCATTCCTGAGCTGTTGAGGCTTCTGCTTTACCTGGCTGCATGCCAGGATGCACAGACAAGTGTTGATGAGGTAAATCTGTTTTTTCTCATCTGCTGCGGATGATACCATCTCCAGCTGCTAATAACCAGAACAGCTGTCTCTGAGTTGTTACCTTTGCCCTCCACAGGGCCAGTGGGTGTTAGTGATGACACAAGTGGGCCGGTTTCTAGTAAACTTTGCCTGGGGCCCCTGGGCTCCACTTCAGCCTGAGCAGTGCCTTGTGTTTCGACATGGCACCAAAATTCAAGCAGCCTTCTCATTGGTCTTACACATTCCATGATAGACCATGGTCACCAATCTACCTTTGCAACAAGAAACGTCTCCCAGTTTGACAGAATTTCCACGGCAGAGACATTTTTGGAAACGCTGTGTGGACTGTTATTCTGTCACAGTGGTCCATATTGATGACAGTGCTCACCTGTTAACTAGATAGGTTTCCATTTCTAGATGTATTCCAGAACGCCTCAGATAAAACTAGTAAGTATAGTTACTGCTGACTTTAGCAAGTACGATAGGTTTAGTCACTTCATGGGAGGTGCCAGAGGAAAAATACAGCAGGCATCAACGAAAAGCCTTTGCTGCAGAGTATTCACTATCAGTATCTTGTTTAGTATTGGAAATGCGTTATTAGATCTGCCAATAAAGATTTGGGGAGTGTCGAATACTGTCGCGTTGATTTTCTTTACGCAGGTTTTTTTTTTTTTTTTACGCAGGTTTATTAAAATGAGTCAACACTGCATCCAGCTTCACCTCAATGCTTGTTAGCCGAGAGCCCAGTGTCCTTGGAAACAGTAACCAAGGTTACTCACTTCCATACAATGCGTTGTGCAGGCTGCTGCTCCCCTTGCTTGAGTGGCGATTAGCAAGCTCTGTTCTGGTGGTGTATTTTGCCTTTAAATGTCTGATGGCTCACTGTGCAGTTTTGTCTGGACATGCTTGAGACAGCAGCAGCACAGTGTGGATCAGGGCGTTATCTATGCTTTGCTTTTCCTGCGGCTCCTGGTTAGCAGTTCATAGAGGTTGCTTATTCTAAATTATCTGAACATATTTGGTGTGCATCTACGTAATTTATTTACAGGTGCCTTCTAACTGCTTTTTCTTTAATGACTAGTGTGTTCTTAAGCTTAGAAAAAATGACAGGGCCTTTATGCTATGGATCACTACAAAAATTCCCGATACCTTCGAGGCCACACACCTTCCTTTGTGACTTTTAGCTAATAAACTCTGACATTTAGATTAGAAAGGTGTTAGACTGCCTAAGCGTTAAGAATTCTCTTAGCTACGTCCCAGCATTGATGTTTGCCAGGATTTCTGCAGAAAAATTTTCTTAATTACAGAGAACATCTGTCACCAGGTGTTTTCCTTCTGTGTACAGAGATAATTTTTGGATGTTTCTCCAGAGACCACCAGACCTAGAGTGCCTTCATATTGTCAGAGCCCAGCCTCCACAACCGTAGATTGTTTTGTCTTCTGATTGTATTTTTGATCATGTGCTGCCAAAGCATTTATGGGTTGCTCTGATTTCCCACAGAAACTATTAATTTCATTTTAATTTTCCCATGCAGACAATAATGGCACGTTTTTAAAGTGGGCAAATTTTAAAATTAGAATGCAGAGGGAGACCACTGCCACAAACCAGGTAAAATCTGAAGAATGTGATTTATATAAATAGGCAGCTACTGGCATTATCTGTAGGGCTTCTTGCCACACAAACCCAAAAGCTAGGCAATTGTTCTATGGATAAGCAGGCTACAACCTACCTGGCAAATGAAGTAAAAGCAAGCTGCTGCTGGGACAAGTGGCTCTCCTAGAAAAGGAAGGAGCAACCCAGGCACTCCCAGCGGCTTCCCGGGGGCATGGACTAGAGACACTAGCAGAAACGTGTGCCTGTTCCCTGTTGTCTTATCAGACTTACGAGGAGCAGTGACATTTCCAAGTTTCAACAAAGGAAGCCATTGTGTTAGTTTATCATTTGTGCTGAGGTCTGGTTTAGGGCATTTTTGTGTAAGTCAGTAAGCAGGCAAAGGGGCATACCTTTTGTTAAAAAACAATTTCTTTCATGGAGGACTCACCGCATTGGTGCCCTCCAGTTACCAAGAGATGCTGTTTCTCTACTGTCCCAGCATGGTGGATGATGTTAATATCCGCCCATCTGCAAGGATGGGAAATGCTGACATGACTCAAGGGGATGTCTGTTTTAAGTAGCATTCATAATTATCACAGGAGCCATACCCTTAATGGTTGCTCAAAAGCTGTCTTTTGTCCATCAACACACACACACACCCTGAAATTCTCATTAGTAAAAATTCCAATATGTTAAGCAGATGTATTTATTAAAAATAATGCTAATATACTCCTGGGGCACATTGATTCCAAGAGGGTGTTTGCAGCAGATTGCATTATAATTATTTAACAGCTAAATAATAAAGGCTCTTTTTTTTTTTAAACTTACAGAGTCACTAAATAATAGAAGGAAAGGAAAGAGTAGGGCTGATCCAGTGGAGACTGATGCTGGTATCAGTGTTCCCTAAGCATTTGTTTGGTCGGCAGCCTGGGCAAAGCCTGTATCTAAAGGGTTAATGGGGGTCCGAAGTGATTTTTGCACTGAGCTCCTCCCATGATGCCAAGAGGCAGGGGGTTGAGAGCACAGCAGAACCAAACAGTTTATTAAACTGTTGAAATTGTTAAAAATGATTAAAAGCCAGTTCAAGATTTTCATAAACACTATTCCAAAATGTTAGTTTTAAAAAGGTTAGTAGCAATGTGAGCATTCCCCATGTCTTCCTCCCCTCCGCTCCCTCTCTCTCAAAATAAAACATGAACACCCAGTGTAAAAAAACACTTCAGGGAGGAGCATTTGTCCACCACTTGGGAAGAAAGGTGCGGAGGGGAGCAGACGGCGTGTAGCAGGCGCTGGCACTGCTCGAGGGGCTGCTGCTGCGGGATCCGGTGGCTCAGATCCCCCAGTAAGGCATCAGGTGTCGGGACTCCTTCTCGTAAACGTCTGGCACGATGCCGTAAGGTGTCTGTACCATTTTAACTGTCGACTTTCCAAAGAGCTGGCGCTCGTAGTCTATCAGCTGCCTCCAGAAGCCGACGTTGGGCCTGATGACGGGCCTCCGGGCTTTGACCCAGCTGTAGGCCTCCAGCAGGCACACGTTGTGAAACTTCATCAGGTACGCGATGCAGAGCGTGGCCGAGCGGCTGACGCCCGCAGCACAGTGCACGAGGGTGGCCCCGTGTTTCCGGCTCACGCTGTGGATCTTGTCGGCCACGCTGTCAAAGTAATTTTTTTTTTAAACTTACAGAGTCACTAAATAATAGAAGGAAAGGAAAGAGTAGGGCTGATCCAGTGGAGACTGATGCTGGTATCAGTGTTCCCTAAGCATTTGTTTGGTCGGCAGCCTGGGCAAAGCCTGTATCTAAAGGGTTAATGGGGGTCCGAAGTGATTTTTGCACTGAGCTCCTCCCATGATGCCAAGAGGCAGGGGGTTGAGAGCACAGCAGAACCAAACAGTTTATTAAACTGTTGAAATTGTTAAAAATGATTAAAAGCCAGTTCAAGATTTTCATAAACACTATTCCAAAATGTTAGTTTTAAAAAGGTTAGTAGCAATGTGAGCATTCCCCATGTCTTCCTCCCCTCCGCTCCCTCTCTCTCAAAATAAAACATGAACACCCAGTGTAAAAAAACACTTCAGGGAGGAGCATTTGTCCACCACTTGGGAAGAAAGGTGCAGAGGGGAGCAGACGGCGTGTAGCAGGCGCTGGCACTGCTCGAGGGGCTGCTGCTGCGGGATCCAGTGGCTCAGATCCCCCAGTAAGGCATCAGGTGTCGGGACTCCTTCTCGTAAACGTCTGGCACGATGCCGTAAGGTGTCTGTACCATTTTAACTGTCGACTTTCCAAAGAGCTGGCGCTCGTAGTCTATCAGCTGCCTCCAGAAGCCGACGTTGGGCCTGATGACGGGCCTCCGGGCTTTGACCCAGCTGTAGGCCTCCAGCAGGCACACGTTGTGAAACTTCATCAGGTACGCGATGCAGAGCGTGGCCGAGCGGCTGACGCCCGCAGCACAGTGCACGAGGGTGGCCCCGTGTTTCCGGCTCACGCTGTGGATCTTGTCGGCCACGCTGTCAAAGTATAGTCCGATGGGGGCGTGAGGCATGTCAGCCAGAGGCACTTTAACGTATTCAAACTGGGGCCAGTTGAAATTGGGGATCTCGATGGTAGCGTTCACAATGCAGGTGATGCCGCGCGCCTGGAGGAGGTGCCGGTTGGAGGCTACGCTTCCTCTGCCCAGGAAGAGCGAGGAGGTGATCTGCGCGATGCCTCCTAGGTCTCCCTCGGAAATCATCCGGGGGGCCATGAGAGTCCGGGGGAGCGTGCTGTGACCTCTGGAGCTCATGAAGACGCCAGCAATCACACTTGCATCGTTGGAAGCAAGACCAGAGTGTGCTGTTTTCCTCCACCAAGGAATCGGAAGTTACAGCTGCCTTCCTGCAAGATACAGGCATCCGTCAGTACTCTCAACGCTACTGATTCATCACAGCCTTCTATAGTGTCTGCGGAATGGGATGGTGAGAGGATTGGAGATGGTGATTTTCTATAATAGCGTGTTCTTCCCAGGATGGAGACAAATCATTTTCATTGATTAACAGGAAAGGTAGTCAAAGATGCCAACATGCAAAATGAATGTAAAATTCAGCACACTGGTGATTTTTTTTTTTTAAAGGCACTAAAGAGAAAGTCTTTCTATTTTAGGGAATGTTAAAGACAGAAACAAGTGCAGCTAATCCCTGAATAACAGCGTTGTGGGGTCCTGCTCTTACCGAGGGGAGTGGTGTTCAGTGGTAATTAGGAAGAGATCAGAATTTCGGATCCCACTAAGGCTGTGCTCTATCATATATTCCTGCCTACCTCCCACGGCTATGATGGCCATATTTCATAAGCCTAACTCTAGACATAGAGATCTTACAAAAGTGTAAAAATGATACTGCTTTAGGTACTGTATTCCAATGAATGGGCTTTGTGGACTAAAGAGATACTGAATTGGATCAGTTATAGAAAGGCCAGGAACATATGGTCACCTTAGCTCTTTATAATTTAAAAGAGCTAACTATCATATTTATTATTTGTGACATCTGAACACCTGTACTATGACATTTCCATGGAAACAATCACAGGTAACTTCAAGGCCATGGTAGCAAAAATTCACTCATCTAAGTTAATGAGCATTTTAGCTGACCTGACCCTGGATGTGGAATACACTTTACTCAGCCCAAGATTTTTCTAATCTCCAAGATGTGTCGCCCGCCTGGTTTAAGATGTATGTTGGAAATAAAGTTTAACAGAATGTCTATGCAGTCTTTCACTTTAGTCTGTGCCCTGAGAAGTGTGCGTATCCCCCACCCAGGGCCCCATAGGGCTGCCCAGCGTGATTCCAGTCGGAAGAGCATCCCCGGTCCATAGACAGAGGCGGCGCTGGGGCTACTCACTTGGGAGGTGTCTGGTTCCTCTGGAGTCCCAGGTCTGGAAAGTCTTAAGTGAGGGAGTGCTGACCAGACTGGATACAAATCAGATCTGTAGAAAGACAAGGAGGTGGGAACGTGGTCACTCATGAACATCCAAAGAAATCCTCCGGGTTTTACTATGAAACTGGGTT